GACCTCCTTGACGAAAGGTTCCATCTAAATCGCCGAAAAAGTTCCGACCGCCTCGACAAAAGGTTCCATCTGAGTCGGCGAAAAGTTCCGACCGCCTCGACGAAAGGTTCCGTCTGAATTGGCGAAAGGTTCCGACCGCCTCAACAAAAGGTTCCGTCTGAATCACCAAAGAGTTCTGATCGCCTCAACGAAAAGATCGGTCCGAATCGCCGAAGGGTTCCAGCCGAATCGCCGAAAGGTTCCGTCCGAGTCATCAAAGAGTTCCGACTTAGGCTACAGAAAAGTTCCGGATTATCAAAAAGTTCCGGCCGGATTATCAAGACATTCCGGTTCAAAAGTTCCGGATTATCAAAAGTTCCGGCCGGATTATCCAGAGGTTCCGATTCAAAAGTTCCGGATTATCAAAAGTTTCGGCCAGATTATCAAGAGGTTCCGGTTTAAAAGTTCCGGATTATCAAAAGTTCCGGCGGGATTATCAAGAGGTTCCGGTAAAAAAGTTCCGGGTTATCAATGGTTTAGGCCGGATTATCAAGAAGTTCTGGTTCCAAAAATTCTGGCTCAAAAAGTGTCGGCCGGGTTATGTGGAGAGCTCAGGCACTAGAAGACATAGAACCAATTAACTCTTTTGTCCAAAAACAAAAGCAGCACTATGCATTATCCCTGCTAGCATCCGATAAAAATTACCAGGTGATATCCATCCAAGTTTGTTTTATTATCACATGTTGTTTTTGTCAAAAAACAAGTTTATCTTTGCCTTGGTCTGCAATATTGGTTATGCAGGGAAATTATTTATGACAAAAAGTGATATTATACCGCGGAGGTGGAGACACACCAACATCTTTTGGCACATGTGGTCGTCGTTACTCAACAGACTCCCGCACCGGCTTACAACGTCGTGGCCGTCTCTCGCGACCGCGCCGGCTTACAACACCGTGGCCGTCTCTCACGACCGTGCCGGCTTACAACGCCGTGGCCTTCTCTTATGACCACGCCGGCTTACAACAAGGAGGACAACTTACCCGCCCGCACCGGTTTACAGCACCACGATTGATTCATCTGTCTGAGCCGCCTTTGATGTTGCGGTCGTTTTTACGATCCGTCTCTTGCGGCCTGGTCTACATCAACACACCGGGCCGCATTTTTCTGGATGAGCTGTTTATGGAGTATGAGCAAGTCACTACTTGGGAAGCCCGGTTTCTCTTCCAACAAATTAGAGGCAAATTATCATATATTATCAACCGCCGTCTGCACTGGATGGCTCAATGGATAGGTGCACAAGTCGCCGGCACTACGATTTGGTTAACTTCAAACAGCCAATTGGAAGGAACCATTGGCCGAGTTGCTGACACGGCTCATACGGGATCATTTATAACCTGCCGCAGTCACCTCAACCTTGTGTGGATAAATCACTAGCCTAACATATCAGGTGAAACCCATCCAATATATTTTATATTACATATTATTTTCTTCAAAAGAGCAATTACTTTGGTTTGCAAGTTGTCCCATGCAGGATTCAAACCGGTCTATATCACGGTTAATTATGGAGAATCTCAAGCCAACTCCTCAAGTCGTCTTGAGTCTCGGGGGCTACAATGATATGACTCGGCAAAATTAGCCAGTTTCAATAAATTCAAGATCATTGAAGGGAAAATAACCCAGCCCCGGAGATTACTGCTAGATCGATGAAAATTTAAAAGCCGTTAGAAGATTTCCGGCTCAAAATAAGGACACTGGTTTAAAATCTGGCTCAAGAGACATCTTTCTCCCACAAAGCACTGAAGCTCTCAAATCAGGTTCAAAATCCGGCTCAAGGTTGTCCCTCACAAATTTTTGAAGCTTTCAAATCTGGTTTAACTTCCGGTTCAAAAAGAATTAATCTCTCGCAAGTTCGAGTTCTCAAAAAGATTATAGGGTGCTAAAAAGAACTTGATGCCATGATGCGCGGTTCAAACATGGGTATCCTGCCTTACGACTTATCTTATTATGATCACTTGGGGGCTTCCTGCTCATCGGGCATAGCCATCAATACCCTCTTGATCGGCGCAATGCCAAAATTTATACGGTCACTTGGGGGCTTCCTGTTCAAACATAGGTCGTATTCGAACCAAAGAGAACATAGCTGTCGATACCCTTTTGATTAGCAAGCTGCTGAACCTACTTGGGGGCTTCTTGATCGTATCCGAATCATAGCTCAACCCCTTTGGGAATCGACGTGGATCGTATTCGAATCGGCGTCGTTAAACAACTCTTAAGGTCACTTGGGGGCTTCCTGTTCAAACATAGGTCGTATTCGAACCAAAGAGAACATAACTGTTGATACCCACTTGATCGGCATCGCCAACGCCACTTGGGGCTATATGATTGTATTCGAATCTTAGCTTAACCCCTTTGGAACGGTTTACTGATCGTATTCGAATCAGAAGCCTCAAAATTTTTATCTATTTTTATACAATCACAAGTATTTGAGTTGTCACAAATATCTTATGTGCCGGCTTTTACAGAGTTGAGTTATCAACTTCACTGTCCGGGTCACATAAACCGGAGGTATCATTCAAAGGATCATAGGGATCTTGTGATCTACTTGTGTGCAGGATAAGACTACATTTGGGTGGTTACCCGCCCTGACTTTTGACGTTAAGTCGCCAGGGCGTATGTTGTTTAAACTCTGTGCAGGATTTGTAGAACTATGACTTATATAAATGCTTCAGTCCAAGCTCATCACTGAAATTGGTGTCTCAAAAGGGTTATCAATTGTTGATTTTCTCAAGGGCTATAGGCCACCGGGTTACAAAAATTCCGGCTTACAATGAATGCGCATTAAGTCATCATCGGCCAAGAGCCGCCAGGTATTTAAACTCTGGATTTACTTGTCAACCGATGAGGTATTTACATCTTTAATAGCCAAAACTGGCTGGATTTTCATGATGATATTGAATGATTGAGGTTTTCATACCGGATTATATTATTCACATCTTTAATAGCCAAAACATGGCTGGATTCTTATTATGGTTATCAATAGCCAATATTATGATGGAGGTCTTCAAAGTCGCTTCAGCGCAATGGCTATTATTTTATTAATGGATATGATTTATTCTACAATGGAAGGAATAATCCCGAGTCGCTGCAGGCTTACGACCCGGCACTTGGGGGCTACATTATTCAAATTGAGGGTACATCAAATATGCAAGTCTCATGTCGCTGCAAGCATGCACCATGACACTTGGGGGCTAATACAAAGTCATTTTTGCTCACCTCATTGAAGACCCGACTCATCACATCGTAATGAGCCGGCCCTTGGGGGCTACCAATTGCTCCTGTCAACAATTCAAGGTACACAAGTCTTAATCCATTATATTGAAAGGTCCACTACTCAGTTGGTAGAGTACAAAGCTCTTAACCTTATGGACATGGGTTCGAGCCCCATGGTGAGGGTTACATCATATGATATTATTTTCAATGAAGTATATATAAAGTCCCAGCTTAGTGTTATCTTACTAAGCCGGCCCTTGGGGGCTACACATTGCTGTTCAAGTTTACATGGTTATATCTATAAAGTCCCTGCTCATTATTGCATAATGACCCGACCCTTGGGGGCTACACTGGTTGAAGTTTTTATGAGCATAAGGCAATTTCAAGTCCCAGGTTGCTGCAAGCATGACAACCCGGCACTTGGGGGGCTACAGGTAATCTGGATATAAGGGAGAAATATCTTCCAATTTTCAGTTTTGAGCAAACCAGATTGACCCGGCATCACCAATCATTATGACCCGGTGTCTGCAACAATCATAACCCGGCGTCATCAATAATCATGAACCGGCATTGGCAACAATCATGAACCAGCATTGGAAACAATCATGACCAGGAATTATCAGTTTTTATAGCCCGGTGATTTTGGAAATCATAGATCGGCAAGCTCTATATTTTCAAACCGGCTGAATATTAGATAAGTATTTCAAGACCAATATTTCTTAAGCCAGCGCTTTGGAAGCCGACTCAAATGGATTATTTGTTTACAATATTTTTTCTACAAGCAAATTGATTGTGAAGCTAGTCTATTAACCCGGATTTTTCTAGAAGAAGGAAATAACAAGGACTTAAGGATGTTCAGGGGCCGGTTTACAAGAATTCTTAACCCGGAGCACAACCTGTCAAATCTGTTATTGTTCTTATTTTGCAGCATAAGTTTACCATGGATAAATCCAAGCTAAACTTGGGGGCTAATGTCGGGGATATACCCCACGGTGTAACCCGGCCGGACTTGGCGACTCACTAATGACCCGCCCTGACTGGACGACACACTAAGTGACCCGCCCGATCCTGGCGACTTATGGGTGACCTGGCAAGCGGATCAAAGGAGCGACAAGACCCGGGGGCCCAGGAGGCTCAAGGCCCAGAAGGCCGGCTTACGTTATGATAGGTCGGCTTAAGAGGAAAGGCGTGAGGAATATGTCCCTTACAAGGAATCAAGACCCGGACTTGTATCCGGCTTGTAGTACAAGATAGGCTAGTCCTAATCCTATTTGGACTCCACATGTAACCCGCCCCTCTAACTTATATAAGGAGGGGCAGGGTTCCCCAAAGGGGATAGGGCAACAAGAACAATCTCTAGGGCTAGACACAAAGGGGGAGCGGGCTTACGGTGACTCCTCTCATGAGCATAATGAGACCTAGCCACAAACACCATGTAGGGTTATTACCGGATGATATTTCCCGGGGCCCGAAGCTGTCTAAATCCTTGTCTTGCGTGTTGCGTCTCTCGTCCCGGTCAACCCCTCTCAAGCTACCACATAGATGCGTTGGCCTCGCGACTAAGTCCTAACACTAAGGACATCTGACGTGTTAATTCCACGACAGATAGCCTACGATCCTTGGATGATAAGAGTTTGTTGGCTTCTTGTGTTAATCTTGAAGATGCACTTAAGAGTGGAGAACAAAGAGATATCGATGGACTTGAATTGTGTTGCGAGCCACTTTTTCTCTAGGACTCACTTCAGAAATCTATGGGGCCACTTGATATTCTGAATTTTTTGAAGAAGCACTCCTTAATCTATCCTAATGTTGTTATTGCATACATAATTTTGTTAACCATTCCTATGACGGTTGCATCCACGGAAAGGAGCTTTTCTAAACTCAAGTTGTTGAAATCCTACTTGCGTTCTACTATGACACAAGAAAGACTCAATGGATTGGCAACAATAGCATTTGAAAATGATATCTTGGAGAAGATTAATTATGAAGATTTGATTGAAGATTTCATTTCAAGAAATACTAGAAGAATGTTGCTTTTTGGTAGAAAATGAGGTCAGTTTACAAGTTTACTGCTTTAGCACCATGTTTATTATTTTACCACTAGTACTTGATATATTTCCTAAATATTGTACCAAATCAGACATATTTGAAGTTAAATAACTAAGGAGAGTATGCTTTACTTACATTAGTTCTTCAATTATATGTTTAAAAAAATTAGGGCCCTTTTTTGATTTTTGTCCTGGGCCCCCAAATTCCTGGAGACGACCCTGTGAATAGGTAGTTCTTTTAGGAGTTCGAACACATCTCTACTTCTAAAAGCAACTCTAACGCCGAGATTTATTTCGTCTGCACGCATCTGTTTGGGTCGCGGCGGATAGAAAAATCAGCCCAACACGCCGATCCAAACGGACGCGTGTCCGCTTTTCCTCCTCCTGCCGACCCATTTTCGGTCCATTTTTAGCTTCATTTATGTCGGCGCGGACACGAGACGGAGGTGCGCGTCGCGCGCCAACTACTCCCCTTGGCCCGCCAGTCGGCGGCAGCCTCCATCATTTCACTCCACTTTCCTCAAAAACCCTCCCGCCCGTGCGCACTGTCGCCGCTCACCATGGACGACGACCTTGATGCTGCCGCCGGCCTCGCCTCCCTCGCCTCGTCCGACATCACGACCGCCCCCTCTGGCAAAGGCAAGACTCGCGCCCCCTGCAAGACCGCCACCGCGCCCAAGCCGAAGAAGAAGCTGATACCCGAGCAGCGGGCCAGGGAGTCGGCAAAGAGAATGGGCCAGAGGCACGCGGCGGACGCAAGGGGTGAAGCAACGGCCGCGGCTGCCATCGCCGCTGCCGCGTAGCAGGAGGACACCAATGCCCGCGTCGCAGCGGCAACGAGGGAGGCGCTGTTGTACCTAGGGTTAAACCCTGGCCAGCACGGGCTCGTCAACTCCACCGTGGCCGCGGCCAGCACCGGCTCATCGACGTTTCCTCAGATGGTGCTGCCAGAGTCGCCCCGCGCGTCGGCGACTCACCCGATTTCTGGCTTCCATGTCTACCCGCAAGCTTCCCTCCTCTCCGGGGAATGCTCGCTAGAGGTGAGCGTGGTGGCGCCTTCCACGCCCGCACCAGCACTCATCGACCTCAACGCCACACCGGTGGCCGCTGGCTCATCATCCGGTGGGCGCAAGGAAACGCGCGCGGGAGATGCAAGCCGACATGCTCCCTAGCGCCCGCAACCTATTCGACAGAATGCCAGCGGCCGGCGACGATGATTTCATGCAGAACATCATCTTCGAGGGTGGTAGGGCGGCCACTAGCGGTGTCGCCGCAGCTGGCTATGATCCCAAGGAGACACAAAGCCAGGATGGTTGAGGGCCGTTCACGCCGTCGACCTTTGATCAAGCTGGCATGCAGGCCGCTTTCATGCAAGATGAGGTCGGCCTGGACCTGGATGGCTTCCCGCTCGACCACGGGTTTCCAGAGGACTACGACCTCGAGGAAGAGGATGAGTTGGACAATGATGGGGAGCCTTTGTTCAAGGACGAGCTCGCCAACCAAGCCACCCAGGTGAAGCCGAAGCGCAAAAGCAGGCGGACGAAGGCATATATACACGGTGACCGAGGACAAATTCCTTTGTGAGTGTAGGAGTGACATTGGGCAAGACCCCAAGACCAGCGTCGAACAAAAGGCATCAACCTTTTGGACTCATGTCCATCGCAAGTTCCATAAACGCAAGAAGTTTCCGTCGTACCAAATGCAAAGCACGCACAGGTGGGTGTCCATTTGGAAGCGATGGAAAGTGATCCAACAAGAGTGCAACAAGTTTTATGCCACTCTTGTGAGCATCAAGGCACGCGTCGTGAGCGGCATCTCCATGCAAGACATGGTATGCATGCAAGCACCCCTCTTTGTGTCATTTCATTTATGCTTGAATGTACATTTTCATATCCATTTGCCAATATGCTTGCATGCCATTCATTTGTAGGCATTCCAAGCTTTGAAGGCATTCAAGGTGAAACACAAAGGCAAGTCCTTCAAGCTCTCCCATTGTAGGAGGGTCATCAAAGACGAGGATAAGTTCAAGGCATAATTTGCCGCCCTCATGGCCCATGGGGGGGGGGAGAAAGCCAAGGAGGAGGTTGGGGAGGGTGAGAAGGCACAACCGCATAGGAAGACCAACTCCAAGAAGGAGGACAAGCGGGATGCGGCGTCGATCGCCTTGATCGCAACCGTGGTGGGCATGATGACCAAGAAGGACTCGAGGGAGGAGAAGCGCCGACAAGACAAGGAAGAGAAAATGGACGCCTTCATGGAGATCCTAAGGAGAAGGCTTGAGATGGAGGCGGAGAAGCAAGCCAACATGCTTGAGGTGGAGGCGGAGAAGCAAGCCAAGATGTTAGAGATCGAGGCCGCCAATGCAAAGAACAAGATGAAAGAAGTGGCTCTCGCAAGCATGATGACGGGGGCGGAGATCATGAAGGTGGATCTCAACACCTTGTCGCCAAGGAAGAAGTTGTAGTTCAAGAAGATGCAGGCCGACATGCTCAAGCTCGACGACGAGTGATCTATGGCAGCGAGCGCCATCCTTTTTGGTATGCCAGCAAGTGTGCTGGCATGGCCAGGGCTGCTATGGCATGGTCGAACTCAAATCCCACCCCTTTTTGTGTAATGGCATGTGTGTCGGCCACTGGCAGTGCCCCAACATGAACTGTGTGGTGCTTTTTTGAAGCTGGCGTGGTGCTGGCATGACCTTCGGGCGACGGCATGGCCGCTGGCATGATCTATGGCCGCATGCCTTTTTTAAATTTGTGCACGGACACGAAATGGGTCGTGGCCGTTGGGCGCACTGCCGACCCAAATCTTAAATAGGGTGGACACCGAGTGGGCGGCCGACCCAAACAAACAAAAAGCAAAAAAAAAGTGCCGTCTGTTTGGGTCAGCATGTTGGAGTTGCTCTAATGGAGCAGTTGGTAGTCTCCATTTCATGGTTATTTTCCGTCCCACCTCCCACCCTTCGTCTGGTATATTTTTGTCTCTCCTCCCACCTACCAGTTCCGCCGCAAATAATGATCTTGTCGACAAAAAAACCCAATCAAAACCATGTTAGGAGGGATCGATGCCTCCAGGTAGCCCCCTCACATGCCAGAAAATAAAAAAAACAACTAAAAAAATCCATGACTCGCACGCACGAGCAAGCAAGCGAGGCCTCCAGAGTGCTCTCGAGCCGCCGCCGAGATCCGAGAGAGCCACCACAGTTGAGGACCGAGAGGAGCCGCCGCCGAGATCCGAGACTAGCCGCCATGACTAAGGACCGAGAGAAGCCGCCGCCTCCAGGCCGCACAGTGACACACCACCACCTCCAGGTTGCGACCGTGACACACCGCCGCCTCCAGGTCGCCGCCGTGAACACACCGCCAAGGTCCGCAATTTTTAAAGTCGGTCGACCCTCACCTCCATGTCGTCGTGTCTCCACCTCCATCGACCTCCTCTCGGATGGATCCCACACGTCGCTAGATCGACAGAGGGGGACCTCCACCATCAATGTTCTTCTTCCTCCCCGACTTCCCGTCCTTGTGCTCCACAGATCTGGCCGTGAGCACAACCAACAGAGCTTCCCCGGACACCATCGACGACGCCTGCAAGGTAGCCATGGTTGTTGCTACCAGATCCAGAGGCGCTCACCCCGACCTTCTCATCATTTTCCTCTTGTTGTATGCCTTTATGCATATTGCTATGTGTTATCAATAAAAAAAAGTTCTGCAAGCATGTGGAAATTGTGTTTATGAATGCCAGGGCCAACGCTACAGCATCTTGGATGGATGGGACAGCTTGGAGGCGGACTGATGCCTACACCCAACCCTCGTTGGGACCCATGCTGAATGACACCACCGACACGCTAATGACGGACTTTGCACGAATACCTCGTCTTGGACTGATGTTGCCAGGGCAGCAACTCCACACCACCATAGTTTGGTAATGCAAATCCACCTCCCTTTCTCTGTTCCGAGTCAATGTTAATCATCCGACCAGAGTTGGTCAATGCTAGAGGATTGGGCTTGGTGGTGGCATTGTATGTAGCAGCTTGTGGAATGGTAATGTTGCCATTGTAGCCTTGATTGTTTTGTAGTTTCATCCTGGGAAGCATTTAGGCGATTATGAACCTGGATGTTTCACTTTATGTTGGTTAATTCAACTTCTTGCTATCACTGACATATTGTTTTTCTTTAACCTGCTAGGGGTCTTGGGTACTGTCAAGGTGATGATGTCGAACAAAACAACCTTGATCGACAGGATGTACATTTGTACATTTGTATCCCCTTTTAAACAGTAGAGATTTATTGGCCAAGAGAAACTCTTGTTACATTTGAGGCTAATATCTTGCTAATTTCAGTTATGTTATTGTGAAATCAAGACCTTGGAAAATACCGGTTAGTGATCCTAACAAGTATTTATGTGCAGTATACTAAGGTTGTTATGTCTTGCTTTAAATCTTAATGTATATAAGAAAGTTTAAAGTAGCACCCGAACTTCTTAAACTAACCAGCCAACAAATAGATCGCCATATTCACTATTAAGAAAACTCACAAATAGAATTTTTTGGTGTATGTTAAATGTCAGTTTGTTATACCGAGACTTGGTTGTTCGAGGGTAGTAGCATTACTAGGTATGAGAAGTATTAAAACAACACTAAGGAAACCAATTCTCCTTTAGTTGTTCCGGATTTCTATTAATTCTATTGAACATGCAATTTTCAGGCATTTACAATCAATTTGAATCACTTAAAAGCCTCCTCCATAAACGGAGGGATGGGCACCGAGAGATCTATGAATGCCCCGAACAAATTAGTGTTTGGAAAAGCAAAATAAGTAGCAACCCAATTGTTTGCACCGATGGATACTCGACATACCATGATGCCGGTAAGCAACATCTCCCTCTTCTTCGCATCTTTGATGGCTCTTGCCATTTTCTTATTATAGTTACTTCTATGTTTATATCAATAACTGTAATAGATGTTCTTCTACTTCTTCTACCGTCACATTCTTATCTTTAGGTTGTTA